AAATGGTGAGAACTTGAAAAAAATTCTTCTCTAAGGGTTTTCAAATCCTGTGTTGTGACCTAGTGGCTTTGTCAAGACCTGGAGGAGGCAGCTGTGTCCTGTTCTTTTTCTCTCTCTCTCACACACACACACACACACACACACACACACACACACACACACACTCTTACCTAATTCTCCTCTTTCGGTCAGGTGAAAATACGGTACCTAAAGTCACAAAGCACAGCATGTAACATGAAAGGTGAAAATGTGTGTATATATATATATATATATATATATATATATATATATCAAAACCACACCATTTTTAATGAAATGAATAATATCCACACATTGATACTTCTGTACAATTTAGGGTAGTATATAATTTTAAGCTGTTTACAAATAACATGTAATGCTTCAAATATTACATAAGGTTGATAATACATTTCTAGCAGAAATAAATATATTGCACTTAAAAAGAACTTCATTAGATGTTACTTCATAGTATCAGGCTTATAACTTTTCTTTCATAAAACATTTCCCATGCCCTTCCCCCCACCCCCAACGCACACACTTCAGTATAGTGACTGTTTTCACGCAACGCATGAGCAAAGGAACACAGCAAACAGCAGAACTGTGCAATAGCACGACCAGGCTACCGCCAACCTTATCCTGTAGGAAACAAATTCTTATAGGTTTCTAAAAAGCAAAGAAAAAAAAACTATACAGAATTTTATTGTACCAAAAGTAAAATACAACGCATTGTATTTTTTGTCCATATGTATGAGTACTTCACAAAATGCTGATGTTTATGATAAAGATATTTTGTTTAGAAACAGGAGGGGATTAAAACTGCTTGAGAAGGTTACAGAGAAAGAAAACTAGAAGATACCCAAGGATTATTTGCCTAGACAATGTTTATCGATGCAAATTTCCATATTCAAGCATGCTGAATATGACAGGGAACAGGAAGTAGTACAGGAAGCATTTTATGGTTTTCTACTGTTTTATGAATTTACAGTCTTCCCTTTCCTTGCCCTCCCCCCAAATCCTTATATTCTAAAATAATACAAAAACTTGTTATAAAACCATTCTTCCTCCCAGCCTTGCTATTTAAAGTAGCAAGCTGAAAATCTTATTTTTTTTTTGTTCCCAATTGTTGTCTAAATTTGGGTGGCAGGTGGCTGGCATGATGGCAGAGCAGGCTACGCCACAGCTTGTTTAGTAGGCTTCCCACACCAGAGTACAGGTTCAAGTTCTGGCTGCTCTGGTTTTCATCCAACACCCTGGGAAGGTAGTGGGAGATGGTCCACCCCGTGGAAGACCCAGATGCAACTCCTGGCTTCAGCCTGGCCCAGCTATTTGGGGAATGAACCGGTTGATGGAAGATTTTCCTTTGTCTCACTTTTCCTCTGTCATTTAGCTTTTCAAATAAATCTTTGAAAAAAAAATTTCAGGTGACAGTATATTTTTGTCTTTTATAATTATAAATTCCCTAAATGTTTAATGATGAAAACCGTTTTCTTTACATAGTTGATAGAAGGGTTGATAAAAATGTTGCTTTGCTTGCAATGTGTAACTAGAAACATTAATAGCTGAATTTTAAAAAACTGTTACTGAGACATGACTGAACTTGACCACATAGTTGGTGGGGTGTGACGTCATTCCATCTACTGTATTTGAAGCTGAGTGATTTTCTCAGTATCAGTCGCCTACATGCATATACAGGGGGATAGTCTGAAAAGGCAACACAAAGTACAAAATGGGCTATAAATCCTAAAATTGGGTGGTAGGGGACAAGTCTGCTTTCCTTGCAGACATCCCTGAGGTTTTCAGGGCTCTCTTTTCTTTGTCTTGTTTGGAGTGGTGTTTTCATAGCTGAAGAAGCCAACCAGCAGAAGTGTGTCTCAGTGTGAAGGGGGATAGCTCTTGAAATGTCCCACAAGTCAACGTAACTACTTCAGAATAACTTTACACAGAGGCAGATCATGAGCAACCAGGAGCTTCTCAACATCTCTACGCTGTGCACACCTGCTAGAAATCGTAGTGGCCAAGAAATCATTTTTACAAACTCCCCAAAAGAAGAGAGAGGAATGCAATTTCAATTTCTCGGTCTAGACCTTTGACCTGATCACCTGTAGCATGTAAGCCACAAGCTGGGTATGTTTACTTTATTCCCTGTTAATGGCAGTCATAGGAGGAAGATCTACTAAGTAATTTTAACAAACCAGATTATTGAATTTACTCAGAATTATTGCCAAGATGTTTGAAAAACAAGCTACAAATGCAAAACCTACCATGTTACAAATTACTTCTTTACAGTTTGATCCAGCAGGTCTGCTAGGACTTCATTACAGCAGCACTGCACATTAGCCATGGTTTTATTTGTCTGTTTTGCTAATGTAATGAGTATACTTGCATGGAAAATTATTAATTGATACCAGAGATAGATCATGATCTCTGATATTCAATTGGTTTTCCCATTAAATAGAAGTAATTGGAGTTACTTTTGGTAGAATATACTTTAGATTTTTACATATTAAATTCTCAGTGGGCTAATAAGAATGAACAGTCAGAACAGTTCAGAGGCCCAGGCTGCGTAACCATCTAGTCCTTGGTTTTCATGGCTTGTGATGCTGATTAGCTCAAGCTCCATTTCATGTATGGTTCTGTTCTCTGGTTTAAATAATACTAGATCTTTGAAAATAGGTATGACTTCTTAAGAGCATGCTTTGATCTCTTAGATCTTGCTTTTTCTCTAAGCACTGCATTTACATGTAGTCAAACACAGTCAGGAAATACTACCATAAGAACAAGAACATATTTAGCTCCAATATATAAACCTAAGAAATATCAGAATACTGTTAAAATAATTCTTTCATTCTCTGAGAAGAAAATATATACAGAGATTCACTTTATTATCTAGATATCAAAGCATTGAATAGCATTGTGTAAAACAGCATCTTTTGTTATTCTGAATTAAGTAGCAGTCCTCAATATTTTAAGGAGCACTGGCAACAGGCCAACTAGTCAATATGAAGTCCCTATCCTAGCTCTATGGATATTATTTTAAATATTAATCATTATTTTCCTCTTAATGAAATGCACATTTTCATTGGACTTGAAAGCAAACTACCTCTGGGTAGTATAGAATAGCATGCAGGATGTTAGGAAGTAGCCTACACTGTCTGCCACTGTGTTCAGATGCTGCATAACAGCACATGCTCCTTAGTAGGTAAACGTTAGGAAGCAGTACAGAATGTCATGAAATCCAGCAACACCACAAGACAGGCTGTGCCGTGAAGGCCTTGTTTCCTAGGCTGGACATGCCCAAGAAAGCCATTTGAGATGAAAAAGACTAACATTCAAACAACCAAATAACATCCCAGAGGAGTCTGATGTGATAAGTATATTGCATTTACCCTCAAATACACTTCCACTGTCAGTAGCAATATTTTCCAACCCTTTTAACAGATTCAATACTTTTGCAGTAAGAACAGAGTAGAATGAAAATCACACACCAAAATTGGATTAAATTAAAATAGAGTTTTGGGGAAATCTGCTAGGAAGACAGGTTACATCCCTGTAGCCAGAATGTATTATAACTAAAGTTCAAAGACTGCTCATCCATTACATTTATGTTACTGGGAAAATGAACTATTGCAAAGCCCTAAATGTGTTTGCCTGACTGTAAATGTATAGACAGGACATTGCTCCAAGATAATATGCAGGTTATACAAAATCAAAATGCAGGTAATTACTATTATATACATTAAAGAAATGTTGAAGAAGATAGCAAGAGTTGAAAATAAAGTGGATGAAGCCTTGAGATGGACTTACAAGAACTGCCAATGTGTTGGTTGGGGAGTCCATATGAAGTAAAATGCAGTTTTGTATTGTGGACTTAGAAAAGTGGCAAAGGAGTCTGTAAATACTGACACACAGAGAGAAAAAGCTGTATTCAGATACACAGGCACATCCACTTGTCTGGAGCCCATGCTGGCCATGTGAGCATCTCAGGTGGACATTCTCAAACCCATGTCTACCAGCATCAGTACCAACAAAGCAGACTTATGGAAAAGAACTTGATCTGGGATGTTTTGATGCCTGTAAGCTCTCCCAAAGCTGACACGAAAATGAAGAACTTGGCAACCAGAGTGCAACAAATGCTTGGAGAACAGAACCAACATCATCATCTTGCAGCTCGAGGTGGAAGTATGCAAGTATGCCTCACATGTCATCATACACAAGCTGCGGAGTGTTTGTCAGTTCAAGAAAAGGAAAGAAAAGGAAAAGGAAAAGAAACGAAAAGAAAAGAAAAAAGAAAAGAAGGCTCTAGTGTAATTACAATTCAGCCCCCAAAAGCAAAGGTTAGTTGTACAAGGTAATAGAGAGCTTCTTGTGTCAAGGTCATATATGGACAAGTATTCCTACATAAATTGCAAGTCATTTCAAGAAAAAACTGGGAATGAAGGAGACGAGACTTACCACTGAGCTTGTTGGGTACTGGCCCTTCAATATTGCAGAAAAAAAAAAGCTGCACTGAGTGAAGATATCACCACATAGTCATCTGCACAATAGGATGTGTTAGCGGTCTCTCAGCCCCTTCCCCAGCACACTACCACAGAGGAAACCAAACATGCTTAAGCTACAGCATTATAGATATTTCTCTAGTTGTTCCCAGTCTCTATCAGGAGAAACTGACATAAGTTTGTCATTGTAGTCAGTATGCTATATAGTGTATTGCCTCTTGAAGGTTGTTGTAAGCCATGGAAAGCAGAAAGATTTTATACATTGATTTTATACATTACTGCATTGACACAACATTGTCCACCACGAGGAACCACGCCCCTTAAGAGTCATCTGCCATAGATGATAAAAACTCCAGGATAAACTGATATCCTGTTCATTGCAGGACTTAGGCTGGCTAATAACTCTACATGATTCTCTCCCAAACCCAACAAACTGTCCGCTAACTACATCTGAACCCTGGTCCATGGTGCATGTCCTTAGCAGGAGGTGTCGAGTCCAGCTCTCCTCTTTAATAGGTCCCAGGTTTTCTGGAGAGTCCCTGCTCCAATATCCCACCTCTCACCAACCCAACCCCGCCCTAGAATTCCATACCCATGTGTACATCCTGGATTTGGAGTCTCCCACTTTTAGAAGAGTCATACAAAGGGTGTCATTACAGCAGAGGAATGACGCAGTCCCTGGATGGCAGCATAGGGCCCTTGCTGGAAGTAATGATGGTATCTTGGCATGTGGAAGGAAGGGAACGTGGGGCCACTCCCCTGCATGGAAGTGGCGATGGCCGAGGGGGTCAGAGGCATCCCCAGGCGACTATATGGTGGCAGAGAGCCCTGGATGGGGTGAGGAATGGGTGTTGCTATGGATGCTGTACTGGTGCCAAGTGCAGTCAGGGACTGTGGGTGCTGAAATCCAGGGAAACTGGAAGAAGAAGATACCCAGGAACTGAGAGACAAATTATCAGATGTTGTGAAGGCTGACCCTGTAAGGGAAAACACTGTTAGACTGAAAGTACCATTTCCAATATACACACTGAGAACTGGATTATCTGTAAGATCAATTTATTTTCAAAATTACCTTTATCTGCAATTTTAGGAGACAAACATGCAGGAGTTTTGCCATGGGGGAAGTCTACTTTTCAAGATAAGATTCCATTTAGACACATCACGGAAGAGAAAATATACTGAAGGCAAAGAGAGCTAACTCATACCATGGCTGGGATATTCCCAAACACTAAGCCCCCACCAGCATGTAATGACTTGATTCCCATAAAGGAAACTGCAAATCTCATACATCTGTCCTAACCTCCACAGCACGTCCATCAGGCAGGCCAAATGGATGTCTCAACAGAGCTCCCTGGCTTCCCAAGCCAAGAACCCACACAGTAACAGCTGCCTGCATCACAGCCTCTGGGAGCATACAGGAGAGTTGCCATTGAGCTCTCCAGGGCACTATTTTCTAGTCTCCCTTGGACTGGTTTCCAAGAGCTTTACTCTGCTTCCACTGATCATGGTGTTCCCTATTACAGATATAAAACAATGGCAGAGGGCTCTCCACGTAAACAACCCTTTCCCGAGACCTCCCTTCCCGGGTATAGGACCTGCACTCTTAAGCCTTGGAAACAGGGAACTTTGCTCCCTTCTCTCTCACACCACTGGAACCTCAGCATAACAGCCTTCACTGGGACAATCCTCCTTTCAAAACAGTTGCCATTCTGATCTTTGGTCCCAAAAGGATAGTCCTGACACAACCAGCACAGATTCATTCTCTCATGTTCAGATTCTACAGTTGAGGTTCAGGACAAATAAGGGGCTGTGCCCAGGTTTCATAACTCTGTGACAACAGCCAAAGACAAATACCTCCTGCCTCTGAAGCTCTCTGTCCTCGCTCCGGAAACCAAACCACAGGAGACCTCCAGGCTACAGAATCATGCATGAACCAGGGACAGAAGTGCAAGCTTCAGAGCAGCAGCCAGGCTGTCCATTCCCGAGATCTTTTCTGGACAACAGGGACCCTGTAGGACTAGGCACCCTATAAAGCAGCCCCTTGCCATCCCCACCGGGCTCTGTGGCTTCCAGAAGCTGGCTCACCTCGATTCGGGGTTGTCTGGCTCTCATCCCCCAGGACGTCCTCTTCTCCCCCGTAGGTGCGGATGGGTGAGCGGGCATAGGAATGCTTCTGGATCAGGCTCTCCACACTCTCCCTAGGGAGAAGAGGGACCCAGCGTGAGCTCACTACACCAACCTCAAGGATCACTCCTTAGTTGGGAAACTGTTCTCTCAGCCGCTGTGGGGAAAGGTGGCATTCAAACCCGCAGAGCTGTCCTTGGTACCCAAAGGGAAGAATTTCAAGACCCAGGGCCTCAGCTGCTCCAGGACCCTACATAAACTGATATTATGTTTGCATTTGATCGACATGCTTTCTCCCATATATTCTGAAATCATACTGAGATAATTTCATGATAATACAATGCTAATGCCGTGCAAAATGTTGTAATTCTCTATTATTTAGGGGGAAACAATAAGGAAATAAGTCCATACTTGTTAAGTAAAAACATACTTTATTCAAATATTTTCAATCCACAGTTGGTTGAATCTGCAGATGCAAAAGCCACAGGAAAGGGAGACTGATGCAACACCAAGGGGGAGGGAGTCTGCCAAAGAATGCCATCAGCAAGCCAAAATGCACAGGGTAAGGACGACCCCCAGGATTACTACCAAGCGAAGGCCAGTGACACAAACAAGGAGCTACAAAACTTGACCAGAGGCATAGGGCATTGAATGAATTCACAACCTGAGCTGCAATGGAGCATCTGACTTCATTAGCTAATCAATAAAACACAAATACTTCTATAAAGTGCACTGATTCAATATCTGATGAAAGGTTGGCAAAATGCTCAAGCTATCACTTCATAAAGACTCAATGTTAACAAACCTAGCAAATGCATAAAGAATATGACAATATTGATAATTTTCTTATTTTAGTGGATCTTTTAGTACTTGGAGTAAATATGTTCTACTTATCACCATCTATCTTCAAGGATAATACACCTTTCAAGTAGCAGACACTATAGGACAGTATTTCAAGAGATTTGTAGAAAATGTAATCATAGTATGCTATTTGCATAAATTTCTTCAAGTATATTTTTTCTCTAATCCTTCAATGTATCAGGGTCTCCAATTACTTATATAATAGAAGATACATTGAAACCTTACCATATTTCACTGATGCTATTGTCATTTTTAAAAATTTATCTTCATCCTGTTCCATCCTGGATGCTTTTCATCACTGTATCTTTGGTTTATTAAGTTCATCATCCACAGTGTCTAACGTGCCAAGAAGCCCGCCCTGTGCAATTTTCATTGCCAATTTTATAATTTCCATGTGTAGAACACTGACTTGGATCTTTCATGCTGCTATTCAAATTTTGAATAGATGGAGTACATTCATCTCAATGTCTGTTGATTACATCATCTATGTCAGGTCTATGTTTTAATTGATCAATTTATTTTTCTCATTACAGATCATATTTTTCTACGTCTTTGTGTTCCTTGCAATTTTCAAAGACCTTGGTAATGGTGAATTTTATCTTAACAGGTTGCTTTATTCCTAAAAACATCCTTAAGCTATATTTGGCATTTAATCATTTGGAGACAGTTTCTTCTGTTTGTTTTTCTTTTTAAGATTTTTTTTAATTGGAAAGTGAGATAAACAGAGAGGAGGAAAGACAGAGACAGGAAGATCTTCTGTCCAATGATTCACTCCCTAAGTGGCCACAACGACCGGAGCTGAGCCTATCTGAAGCCAGGAGCTAGGAGCCTCCTCTGGGTCTCCCATGCAGGTGCAGGGTCCCAAGGCTTTGGGCAGTTCTCGACTGCTCTCCCAGGCCACAAACAGGAAGCTGAATAGGAAGTGGGGCTGCTGGGATTAGAACTGGTGACCATCTGGGATCCTGGCATATACAAGGCAAGGACTTTAACCGCTAGGCTACTGTGTTGGGCCCCCATTTGGTTTTTAATTTCAGCTCTCAGCTGAACACCCCAGAGGGACTGTCTGTAGATCTGTAGAGTTCTTTGCAGGCAGCTCTCTCTTCTTTTGTAGTCTTTCTGTGACTTCTCACAGGGTTTGCTCAAATGCCCATGTCTGACTTCTCACCACAGGGAGTCCACCAGGATCTGCCTGCATTGCCTCTTGCTGTGCCTTGATCCAGACACTCTCGGGTGAGAATCTGGAGCCATCACAGGACCGACCCCATATGTTTCCTTTTTTTACTCATGTGTAATGCCATTAAAAAACATTTCCGCAGATTTTTTTTTCCTTATTTTTTCTTTGTTTCAGGAAAGAGGATCGATCTAGTCCTTGTTGCTTTATCCAATTTCCTAAAAATTCCAAAGTCCAGTTATACTCATGAGCCAATTAAATTGCAAACTCTGGGGTGTAACAGGTGCTTCAGTACTTGTTAAAGTCCCTGGGTGATTCCAGTAGGTAAATAAGTTGAGGCATGAAGGACATGCATATGGTGGGTACTTATCACCAAACACTCATCTGTATCTTTTAAATTATGGATATATGTATTGTTTAATTTAAATCAATTATCAATTATAAAATACCTTGAGAATACGATAATCTACCAATTAACAAAGGTAGAAGAGCTACTGGTCTAACATAGGTATTTTGGGAATCTGTTATAATGAGTTAATAAAATTATATGTGCTAGAGTGAGTATATGGTACAGTGAGTGACACTGTTGATGGGATGCTAAAGTCCCCTATCAGGGTGCTGAGAAGGAGTCCTGCCTTGGTTTCAAACTTCCTGCTGGAATATATTTTGAAGCATAGCATGTTCCAAGTTCTCGAATTCCTGCTACCCACATAGGGTACCTGGATGGAGCTCCTGGCTCCTGGCTTCAGCCCAGCTCAAGCAATTGCAAGTGCTTAAGAACTGTACCAATAGTTGGAAGATCGCTCGCTTGCTCTCATCTCCTCTCCTCTCCAATCTTCTCCTCCCTTTCCCTCTCTTCTCTTTTCCTCCCCTCTTCTCAGTCCTCCTCTCCCTGTCACTCTGCCTTTCAAAAAAAAAATAAATCTGTTTAAAAAAACTATAATTACCATGCTGACTTTTTATCACTGTGGTATATTCACAAGCACAATGAGATAGGTTGCAAGTATCCTGCACATTAATGTTACTCGTTAAATAAAGAGATGGGAAGACCATTTTCCACTTTAACATCGTAGCTGTTTGACTCTTAAAATTGGGAAGCATATATTATCTACCTGATACAACAATCCATTCATTAAAGAAATAATTCATGGAATCACTACTCAATGAAATAGCGAACAGGTCACTATTCTGGCAGTGTGGAGATCGCAGTAAACCAAACATATAAACCATCCTGCCTTGTAGGGGCAGCAGGATAAAGAAAAAAGGAAGATAGAAGAGAGACAAATAAAATCATGAACTGCATTAGGTACTAATAATAGTGCTATGAAAAAAGGTAGAAAATACTAGCAAGTGGTACTAAGCAGATTAAACGAGGGGATATGTTTCAATTGCCTAGAATAGTATCTAGGACACAGGAGATACTCAGAGATAAAATACTGAAGTCAATGGAGAAATGTGACTATAATGTTATTTTCAGTTATTAAATTATTGCACAAAATGCTATATTTTACCTATATCCCTTGCCTGAAAGGGCAATCTATTTAAAAGTATTTTGAGACTTTGAGTCCCTTGTCTTAGACTTATTGAAATAAACACACCTTATTAGTCACTAAGAGACACCACTGAATGTATTAAATAAAAGTTAAATGGAAAGTTAATCTGCCAACTGTCATATACTTTCATCCATTCGGTTAATATGGAACCCCAACCCCAACCACCTTAACGGTCGATGTTATTTAAGGACCCAATTCACTATCTTTCTACAGAGTGACTGTCTTTTTGGATAACCTGGGTCATTAAAAAACAAAGACAAGTAGGATGGAACCCATGATGAAATGAAGCAATAGCATACATTTCAGTGGTCCTTTAAGTCTGAACAATGTATCATATTACTGGTAGCTTAAAATGATTTTAAAAAGTGAATTAGGTGGTTGTTTTCACATGAGAAAGGAATTTGATTCATTATCCTAGAAAGTATTTTCACTTTGTAGAATTATAACAGAATTCCCATCAATGAGTCTAAATTATGAATGACATTAATCACTTCTCCTAAAATTTGCACAAACTGCTAAATTCAAATGAGTATTTTTGCCTCTTTAGAAGCAACCTTAAATGAGATCAAACATCTTCCACATATATGAGAAAAATAGTTTTCCAAATAACACAATGAATCCCTCTTTGCTTTTCTAAGAGAAGTGTATTACATTCATCTTGTCCTTGCTAGATCATCATATCATTACTTATGCTAGTCTCTAGGAGAGGGGAAAAAAGGGGGTGGTTTTATCGAAGTGATTTACTTGTGTCAGATCTGGAAGGGAACTGGAAGCAATGGCTTTGCTTATATAAAGGATGGCATAATTGAATTATTGCCTTTTACGTGATTGAACACAGTGGAGCACATCAGTCCATCTCTCTGAAGATATTATGAGAGTAAGTGGTCAGCCTGTGTTGTTTCTTTTCTATCTAATCCCTGTTTCCAGGAGAAAGAAAAGTGCAAAGATTTTGTTTAGCCTGGAAGCCTAAAATGCTGTACCCTGAAAAATGAAGGATGACTCACCTAATGGGTTAGGTGATTTAGCGTTATGAGCTAAGATGGTAGCTTGCAGTGCCCAGTTCTGTTAGACCCTAAGGCCACACACTAGAGGTTGAGTACACCTACATTGGTATTAGAGGTAAATCAAGCGGGGACAATGACTGAAGGTCAGCCCTTCTAGCATGGAACACTAAGTTTTTTTTTCCTAGGATCAAAGAATGATGCACGACCTTAAGTGATCTCTAAAGGATGCCTTCTGGAAACTTTGCAACCACCATTTCCAGGAATAGCATGCATGTCAGAGGCACAATCATAGCCACAAGACAGATAAAATACTAATGGTGGTGCTGGCCCTGCCAAAATACTTACGGATGTTTGAAGGCTTTTAGACTATTTGTTCAAATGCCACACAGGCAAATCCAGCACACTCTATCTGTACCGGAATCGGCTGTCTCTTCTCTGTCTTTAAAGTGAAAGCACAAACTTCTTAACGTTCACAAAAGCAAAAC